TCTCCATGGCTCTGGCGATCCCAACTGAGTTGCCTGATTAGCAGATCGTCAGGGCTTGGATCGTCAGAGCCATTTAAGGCTCGTCAGAGACTTTTGGGCTGGTCTGCCTGGTTACAGGAGAACGACACCCGGCGTATAAGACAACCCCTGACTTTTGAGAAGATTTTCATGTGTTAAAAAGTCGTCTTATATGCCGGAAAATACGGTAATCAAAATATATTCAAATGTTTATTCCGGTTGTCATGGGTTATATTAGATACAAAAAAGATTTACCTCATCTGGCTATGTTTTCCAAAATGTGATGTAATTTTAAGCAAGTCAGTTTTCAGGACCTTTTCCTCATTTCAGTTTTGGATCATCTTTCAAAATTGGTTATGAGAAATGAAGTCTCTTGAGGCAAGGCTAAACTTATTAATATTATTTCTTTTAGAAAATAGGAAACAGACTTGCTTAATGTACTGGAAATAACTTGGGAAGGGTGTGCCCTCACATGTTATGAGAAAGCTAGATAATATAAAGTTAATGAAATCTCAACTTTTAACATAAAGCTCTTGAAATTATAAAACGAGTACTTTCATCTTTCTTGACATTTGGAAATGAGGCCTTTCAGAAATAAATTTCCTTTACAGAAACATTGTCAACAAGAAATACTTCTATTTTGTGTGTAAGTGTGTATAGGCTTTCAGCCAATGGTTCCATCTGTGTCTATGAGGATGGAATGTTCATTCATGCAGCTGAAATTCAGCTAAAATTGTGTTGGAAAGCAGATTGTACAGTTTGCTCCTTGTGTGTTCTCTACAATGGGAATGTAATGCTTTTTAGACTTCCTGCAGATCAGAAAATTGATAGTACACAGAAAGTTTTCCCTCCTTGTGCTTCAGTATAAATGCTCATATTACTCACTGCCTGTGTTTGACTAAAGTATAGCAACAGTGACTCAGGTAATGTCAGTAGATTCCAAGACTCCTAGATAGCAGATGCCTGCTTTAAAAAGCTCTTTTTGTTGAAGGCCAGTTGACGGAACAAATCTTGGATGATGTAGCTTACAATATATTAACTCCTTTGTTAACCATGGGAATAATTTCGTCTATTTAAAAAAAAAACAGTTAGGTCACCAAAATCAAACAGAAACTTAACAAAAAGTCAAAAAATCAAAATTACATGACAGATTATTCTTCTGTTGCTTGCCCAGTTTCTGTAGTTACTGGATTAATTTCATTTGTTAAAATGAAAATTTTATGTATTTGTTGCTGCTAATGCTTCTTACAATTGTTTGATGGAATTTTTATATTGTATTACCTTTAAATGATGTTGAGGTTATGCATTCAGTCATGTCCAACTCTTGGTGATTCTATGGCCCAGGTGCAATTGCCAATTTGCACCTGGGGAGGAAAACAAGAAAAAAAGAATTCTGCCTCTGCCTACCAGCATCAGGATCAGCGGCGTCCTCACTTCCACTCAGATTTTGAGAATGAGTAGCACAGATCTTTTTATCCATTTAAAACAAATCCTATCACCCTACGCGCATTTAACTGGAGTGAGTGAGGTGGGGGATGTTTTTCACGGGGGCAGAAGAGGGACTTGGCACCAAACATTCCACTCCTGAGACGCCCCTGTCTTCCTACCTATAACCAAAGGCGTTGAAAGCCTGGCTTTCTCACAGCAAGGCCCCATAGAGACGCAGCACTTCAGTCATCCTGCACACTGCTATCTCGTAAACACAGTGCCGGGCTTCCAGGAAAGTCCCTGCGCCTTTGTTGCCTCAGTCGGAGCCTGATTCCTCAAGCAGAATGGAACCGGCCAAAAACTGCCGTTCCAGGCGATGGGGATTGCCAAAAATGAGCATCACATCTTCGGTCTCTGCACGCTGGGAGATGGGTGGCATTGGGAGATAGGGTGCCACTTGGAACCGGCCAAAAACCACCATTCCCATGTTTTCATGAGGGAGTGTGGCTCTGCAAAAAGCATCAAGGAGGAAAACGCTCGAAAACGCAATGCATGGAGGTGATGCTCTTTTTCCTTCTTTGGAAGGAAAGATTTCCTTCTTCGGCCTGGATTACCTTTCTATTTTGTAGGAAGCCTGGCTTTCTTTCCCAATTACTCAGAGGCTTTGGTTTAAGGTTGCGCTGCTTTACGTCACCCTCCTCTTTCTTCTCCTGCAAGTGAGAGGTGCCTCAGAGACTCGGCTGGGAAAGAGGGCGTCGATTACTGAGAAGTTCTTTTCCAGAAAATGTAACGGGGTGCTCCTACGATCTGTAGGGACTACTTGCTTTCCCTGAAGAGACCCCTTGCATGCTCTGTGGGGAGGGTCAGGGCACAGCCTGAGGAATGAACCTCTTCGCGATGGTCTGGGGGGGAATGCCTGGCGGCTTTGATGAATGAGGTGGGCCCCACGGTTTATGGCTGGTCCCCCCTCTGGCCGCCTATCGGGCAGCTCAGGGGAGACAATGGCCACAATGACTTCATTCCCCAGCAATGTGAGGAGCCACTGCCTAACACCTCTCCACGCCCGGGAGGTGAACCAAGCAGGAGCCCCAAAAGCAAAACCACCCAAAATGGATCAGCACCACTTCTCCCAGGATCATTTATCAATAAGTCAGAAAAGCACAGTGCAGTTCAGTTTAAGAGAGCAAGGGCGGGAACCAACCTCAACACTGGATGGAGCCCCTCTGAGAACGAAGACCGTTTTGGAGGAGAAGGTGGCTGAGGAGGGAGGAGTGCAGGTGCAAGGGAAGGGAGGGGGGACTGCTGGAGAAGCAGCCCTTCTCCCCTTCTTCCAGCAACAGGAGTGTGTGTCTTCTCAATGTGCCCAGAGTTTTCTTCTTCCCTTTAGCCACTGAGAGTTCTGAGTCCTCCCAGGGTCTGTCTGGAAGTGGCTCCAGTAGTTCTGATGGCTGCCTTCACAACTTGTGCGAGGACTGGAGATTCCCACTCCCTACATCAGCAGACTTCTCCTTAACCTCCCAAGATTTCTGCCTCCATGGCTGCTGAGCAGCCTAGGGTGACGGTGGTGGTCCATGCAGATCACATAAAGGCTTCAGGTGTGCTGAGTGGCCTTGCATCTTCAAGGAACTGGTGGCTTGCTGGGCACTGTGCAGGAGCTTTAAGGCAAAAAACACTATTGCTGCGATCTCCGCTGCCTGGAACCGCCCAAAAACATGATGCTCTTTTTTTCCTCTGCACACCCTGTTTTTGGAATTGGGGAGGCAGCAGAGATCTCCAGCACAGATTAGGGCAACAGTGGTTTTGGGTGACAGCACCTTGCCTGCCCCCTGTGCAGCGCCTGCTTTGCTAACCAAGTCCCGACCTCCACACTTCTCTCTGCCGCTTCTGGAATCAGGCTCTGACTGAGGCAACAAAGGTGCAGGGAGCTTGCGGGGAAGCCCGGGACCGTGTTTATGAGATGCCATCGTCCAGGATGACTGAAGTGCTGCATCTCTATGGGGCCTTGCTGCGAGAAAGCCAGGCTTTCAACGCCTACAGCTATAGGCAGGAAATGGGGGTGTCTCGGGACTGGAGCCTTCAGTGCCAAGTCCTTCTTCTGCCCTCATGAAAATCATCCCCCACCCTACCCTACCCACTGCGTGTAGAGTGATAGGATTTGTTTTAAATGGATAAAAAGATCTGTGCTACTCATTATCAAAATCTGAGTGGAAGTGAGGATGCGGCTGATCCTGATGCTGGTAGGCAGAGGCAGAATTCTTTTTTTCTTGCTTTCCTCCCCAAAAATTAAGGTGTGTCTTATAGTCCAGTGCATTTTATAGTCCGAAAAATACGGTATTGGAAAGATCATATCAGTATTTCTTCTAGATTATTGTCTGACTAGACCACTCCATTCCTGTTCAGTATTAAAAATGATGCTCTCAGAAAATCATCTAAGTACTGTAAATTGAGTAAAGTGACAAAATCATTTTAAAAAATTGTAAGGAATGGAGTGATAGAAAATAATTTTAGAAAGTCTCCTGCTTATACAGGAAAGCTTTTTATTAAAAAATATCTCAGGATGGGGTTGGAGGATTTTAACATTAAAAATGGTCTTCAGCTCATTGTAGTTTTGTATGACATATTCACAAATACTTGCTCCCCACTGAAACATGGTCCAATTCTATTTATGTCCACTTAAACAATTAGATGAATGATTTAAAGTGTGTTATTGACTTTCGAATATTGGACTGAGTATCTGATTTTGTAAGTAATAATACATGAATTTTTTCGCACTTATAATGTGATATGTGCTACAATTAGAAGTTAGAAGTTTTCAGATAATAATATTTTATTAACTTTTAATTATAGAAAACTAAAGGGTTAATCCTGATGTTTCCTAGGCTTGTGGTTTCATTTAATATAATGAAAAATTGGGGAGAAGAAAAATATATAAATTTGCGTATAAAAGTCACAATGGTTTATTAGACATGAGGTTATCAGTTTTCCAATGTTTACTTTTTTGGAAACCATTTTTTTCATTCTAAGTAACCTTGCTGTCATTAATGCATACATACTTTAATTCAGGGTTATTTTATATAAAAAAATTCTTGATTTACAACCATTAATTTAGTGACCATTCAAAGTCACAATGGCACTAAAAAAGGTTACATGACTGCTTTTCACACTTACGACCATTGCAACTTCCACATGGTCCTCGTGATCAAAATTGCTCTGCAATTGTTTCATATTTATGATGGTTTCAGTATTCAGGTCATTTGATTACCATTTATGACCTTCTGACAAGCCTCAAAGTCATTGAGGAAGGTAGATTCACTTAACAACCATGTTACTAATTTAACAGCTGCAGTTACAACTAGGCAACAAAGGATGTAAAAGGGCAAAACTCACTTAACAAATATCTCATTTAGCAACAGAAATTTGGAGCTCAATAATGGTCTTAAGTTGGGGACTATCTGTAAAGAATTATGGAATGTAGGAGTATACTTTCTTGTCTGCCATAAAAGTATTTTAGGAAATGAAATAAGCATTAAAAAACATTTTGTCTCCTTTCTTAGATATGCGTCACAAAGATGTCCACACGGAATTGCCAAGGAATGGATTCTGTGATCAAACCCTTGGACACAATTCCAGAAGACAAAAAAGTCAGAGTTCAGAGGACACAAAGCACTTTTGACCCATTTGAGAAGCCAAATAATCAAGTAAAAAGGGTGCATTCAGAGAACAACGCTTGCATTAACTTCAAATCTTCATCAGCTGAGAAGGAATCTCCTAAAATCAGACGGCATTCCAGTCCTAGTTCTGTGAGTCCAGACACGCTGTATTTATCTTTTTTAAATTCTTCAAACAAGTTTTAGATGTTTGGTATTTTAATAGCAGTGTTGCTTAATACAAATGATCCTGTGAAAGTATGTCTATTTTTAAAAGTCAGTGTTTTCTCAGATTAAATATCAGTATTAAAATAAAATAGTTTTAATTTTTTTAATTAATAGTTCAAGGTCAATTAAGACTATTACAGAGTTTTCTGCAGCTTATATTAATATTAATATTAATTAAAGTATAAAAGTAAAATGGTGATTAATCTTTGAGCCATATGGGAATATAGATTTAGTTTTGATAAGTCATGAATATTTCTTTTGATAAATTCTACTTTACTATCACTATCACAACAATCATTAACCTAAGGGATACCTGTATGAAAGTAAAAAAATGGGAATGAACCAGTATGTTATGAGTATTACATCAATCTGTAACCATCAGGTTATGTCTAAATAGGCAATGTCTTCATTGGAGGCTGTGGAAGGAGGGCATTATTTTGAGGAAAATGGAAATTATGTATTTGAAAGTAGTTTTTGCTTGCTTGGTTAACTGTCTTGTTATATCAAAGGATCTTCTTATATGGATCAATTTTGAATAGATTTGCATAACTGGTGCAAAAGTAGCAAAACGGATAGCGCTGAGTACTAAAATAGTACAGTTGTATGTTCTCTAAATGCAAATTTAGATAACAGAATAACAGAGTTGGAAGGGACCTTGGAGGTCTTTTAGCCCAACCCCCTGCTCAAGCAGAAGGCCCTATACCAGTGATGGCTAATCTTTTTGCCATCGCGTGCCAGGAGAGGGGTGGGTGGGGAAGGTTCGCACGTGTGCGTGCCCACACCCATAATTCTATGTGCCCCTCCTGCGCATGCAAACCCCTGCCCCCTGCTCCTGGCACGCCTCTCTAGGAGTCTCTGGAGGATGGGGACAGCAAAAAAAGTCACTTCCTGTCCCACCGGGAGCTGGGAAATGGGCCCTTTCAGGCCTCCGGAGGGCCTCTGAGGGAGTTGGAAAGGCTGTTTTCACCCTCCGCAGATGCATAGAGAGGATCTGGAGCCAGGTAAGAAAGAAAAATGGGCCTCCCCACCCAGGCCTTCCGGAGGCAGGAGGTAGGGAAACAACCTGTTTCCCTACTTCTGGTGGGCCCAGAAGGCCTGAAAATCAGCTGGCCGACGAGCGCATGCATGCCAGAGCTAAGTTGGTGTGCCCACTGATATGGCTATGTGTGCCACCTGTGCCACACGTGCCATAGGTTCGGCATCATGGCCCTATACCATTCCAGACAAATGGCTGTCCAGTCTCTTCTTAAAAGCTTCCAGTGATGGAACGCTCTAAACTTTCTAAGGCAAACCATTCTATTGGTTAATTGTTTTCACTATTACAACATTTTTCCTTAGTTCTAGGTTGCTTCTCTACTTGGTTATTTTTTATCCATTCTTTTCTTGTCTTCCCTTCTGTTATTGGGGGCTTATACAATAGATCAGACTGTCACTTTAAGGGAGGGGAGAACCCTCCGACCTGAGTTTGAAACTCAACCACTGTAAATCTCTGTTACAAAGAACTGAGATTCCAAGAGATGAAGACAAGGCCATTAGAGTGTCTGATGCTCTCTCCTGATGTGGCTTATCCTGAGCAATTCCCTGAAACAACAGTTCCTGGAAGGGATTGCCCCCTTTCCCTCCAGACGGGTTAGCATCCAAAAAAAGCTCAGGCCTTCTGGATCTGGTGCTCAAAAGGAAAAAGGCTCCTCTATTCCTTGCTCAGACTCGGCTTCCCAAGAGATGCATGCAGGAAAAGATTTGCTTTCCTTGCAGCCCAGCTGGCCATGCTCCTTCCTTCCCGGCCTCGCATGTGGATCCCCCTTCTCGCAACGGTCCCAGCTAGGACTTTTAGATTTCTGGATATATGTTTGAAATTTTTTAACAATGCATCTTTCTTTGAAATTTGTACTCCACTTTGAAATGAGAAACACGGGGGTTTAGTTATGATTAGCTGTTAGCCAGTGTTTTTTTCCCCAGTGCATTGGGGAAGGCCATATGAGAGGTCCTGGCTTATGCTATTTCATCACTGATTATTAGATGATGATCTTTTAATTCAAAATGTGATCACTTTTATCATCCATGTGGAAAAAACAGAATTGCTCTATCTTTTTAAAAGAAACATTAAAAAACTGTCTGTCTTTCTTGTTTCCAGGTTTATAACTATATATTCAAAACTTTATGATTTGGATCACGTCTAAGCATAATTAAATCTGGATTTGGTGCAGCAGTAATTAATTTTACTTATATTTACTGTTGTCAGGAAAAAAAATGGATTGGATATAAGTTTGTACAAAGCAAATTAAAAAACCACATTTTTTTCATTCACAACATGTCTTCAGTGATGTATATGTATGCAATAGTAGGTAATTTCACAGATTAAACTAAGAATAGCCTCTCTGGCTTTAATGATTTGGTTCTTGCTGTGCAGGGTACGGGATTTGTAATTACCTTTATTGCTTGATTGAATACTCTTATGGATGCGTAAGTTTGCCAAGAAAATTAGTTGGAAGCCTTATTTAATAGCTATATGTAAATGAGCTGCTTTTCTTAGATTTAGATATTTTGGTTCTTTCAAATTTCAGTTGCTGATTGTGTACTATGGTGGATGATAGAAACGAAATTATTTCTTAGTCTGATAGAAAAATATGTAAGGCAAAATAGCTCTGAGAGAAATGAATCCTGCCACTCTTGGATCCAAAGAGGAGAAATTTTCTCTCTCTGAACCTCCTGAAATACACCACATGAATGGAGGAAGCAGAGTGCCCCATTATTTTCCAGGAAGCTCCTGTCTTTCATCAGGAAATAGCCTTTTATGAAGCTCTTATTTCTTCAAATTAGAATTTCCTATACTCTCACTCCTCCTCATTAACCAACCCTTTGCTAGTACTAAGTCTTTTTTCTGAGCGAATAGCCCATTTTCTAAAGTGAGCGGGATATAGGTAGTTTTTACCTCAGAATGTTGCTTTAAGGCCACTTTTCAATGATGCTAAATTACACTGTACCCACTCAGTGGTGTTTGAAATAAATACATCTTGTGTCACCTCATACCTAAATAAAATGGATGGGGCTTTCTTTCCCCTCCCCCTCTTTTAAACATTGAAAATGTTGTCAGTAAAAGAACCATTTAATGTTAAAATTGGGATATAATCAATCTAAATAATTGAAAAAAGTAAAGAACTATTTAGAATTCTCATGTTGTACTTGTAAATTTTTCTATTGTATATTTTGAGAATTCCTTGTCTCCCATTGAAAAGCGTTCTTGAATGTCTTGTTTGCTGAGCATATTCATCTATACTTGTCTCTGAAACACTAAAAATTATCCCATAGACTTTCTGAGATGAGAAGTGCATCACAATAGCATTTTTAAAATGGGGGATACTGTTAATCCTTACAATATGGGAGCCACCTTTCATCTTCAGGAAAAGCAGTTGACCCTTCTAATTCAAATCCAGAATTGTCAACCTCCATTTTCTGCTCTGTAACAGATTGGCCATCTAGCCATTTGAATCAGATAATTGAAAAATGCAGCACAGAAATCTGTGTGAGTTTAGTAGAGAAGCTAGATAAGATCATCCTTTGATTGCCAGCTTGATAAAACTTCTGTTCTCTGGGTTATCAACTGAAGTCGTAAATACTAATTATGTTTTCAGGAGAAAATGGCTCACTGAAGATAGTTCTAAGTGGAGCTGACAATTGACAGCTTTGTACAAGGAGCTAAAAAAAGCAAATAGCCCATATTTTCTCTGAATTAAAGAGAATTACTGGAGATTGTTCAAGTTTCTCCTTTTCCTGACAAAGAGATTGTAAGGCAGCAATTTTGGGTGATGGGTAGGAATCAGGAAGACGGAGGAATTCACCATTTTGCTCTAACTGTATATTGTATCTCTTTGTAGCCACTAAGTTGTATGTTTCCTTACTAACTATTTTTGGAAGTTGCATATTAATGGATTTAAGAAAGTTAGACATCTTCAGAATGACAAGATTGGAAATCCTGAGTGAATATTTTTAATCTTCAATATAAGAATATGAAAATTTACTTTTACAACTTCTAAGCACTTAAAATAAACAGCAAAAAGTAAGAAAAGGTTTTGGCTACAAAATGTTCTAGGGGTTAAAAAATGGAGTTTTGGACTTTGAATATTAAGATTTTGAAACTACTTTTCTATAAAAATAAATGTAAACTTGTGGAAAACAAAATTTAGTTTTCAGTAAAATAATTGGTGTTTTAAGACATCTTTGAAGAATTGTGTTGATATCTGCTTCAAGAAATGATTTTTTTTTTTGGTTTCGTCTAAAGAACAGTCTGTTACCAAATGAAGGTATCAAAACAAGATATCCAGGAAAATTTACATAAGGAGAATATAAACATTTTGAATAAAAATCTGTTGCTAGGTACATTGGATGAGATTTTAAAAATCAAAGAATAAAAATAAGAATCCCAGAGAATAATTGGAATGATTTTATTGGATTTAAGATGCTAAGAAATTTGTAATAAGCTTTATTAATCATCTAAATCTGGGGTGTCAAACTTGTGGCCTGTGGGCCAGATGCGTCATGTGCTGGCCCCGCCCCCATCCAGCTTAGCAAAGGGGAAAAAGGTCCCAATATGTCATGTGACTACACCGTGACGACGCAAATTTGGCACTCCTGATCTAAATGGATTGCAGAGAAAGATTGTTTTATTGAGAAGAAAAAGAGATTGCAACATTAGTTTATTCGATCAGGAATTCAATGGTATACATTATTATTTTGTGTGTGATTCTTTTTGGATTTTTTGAAATCTTACAAGATTTGTCTAAAAAAGTATATTATAAAAACATTTTCCCATATAATTAGTGTTCTAACTGGAGAAGAAGGCAGGGACGACGGAGGCTTGGCTATTGTAACACAACACTTTATTTCTAACAACGCTAACTCAGATAACAAGGCAACACAGCGCGTGTACGAACATTGACAACTTGTTGCCATCTGACAGTTGCTTAAATATAGGGCTGTCAGATGGATGAAACCCAATAGGAACGCTGCATTTTCCCGTTAAATGCCTGCTCACGTCTAACCCAATCAGAGCAGGGCAGCAACAGGGGATGCTCCAGAGGAGGTCGTAACCGTGACGACTTAACAATTAGTTTATTTGGTTCTAATTTTATACTACTTAATCTGGTTTTATATTTAATTATTTTTCTTTAGTTAGGAATATTGGAGAAATTATTTCTTTTTGCTATAACTTAGGCAATATCTATCTTAGGATATAGGAATTATTTTATTTTATACTGGTGAAACATGGTGCCTATAGAATAGAGACATGGAATGTGTATGTCTTGATATGCTAGTCCGCCGTGTCTATCTTGATCTGAGGTGAACATTGGGTAATTCCATGTACGTATGTAGTCAAGATATGATGATCATCCCAGCTGTCCAGCTAAAGCAAAACAGAAACGTATATTGGGCAGCAGTGATATAGAAAGGTGCTTGAAGTGGATGATCATTTTAGTAACATCAGGAAAGGTATTCTGTTATGGGAAAGGACAATGGTAAACCATTTCTGTATTTTACAAAATAAACAAACAAACCTCTTCACTGATAGGCACAGTAAAGCAATTGATTATGATAGGAGGCTGGATGACATTTAACATGTTGCTGAGGGAGATCCTTCGCTCTTTCACATTACAGATATTGTCTAGGGCATGACTAAATTAAAGCTTTAAGGATATCTGGTTGCTGATATTGCCATGAAGGAAAAGGTAATCTGAAGCAAAGACAGAATTACATTAGTAACAGGGAATGTTAATAGCATGAACATAGGAAAGCTCCACATAGTGAAAAATGTAGGAAATCAACTACACAAGGTTGCTTAGGTATCAACAAATTGAAATGGATTTGAATAGGAATTAAATTCTGTTATCATTATGTGCTATCAAGTAAGAATCAATTTAGTGACTACATAGATTTTCTCCATGTCCACTTATCTCCAACTTTAATCCTTTAGATTTTCTAACTGTGCATCTATGTCTACTATAATTAAATCCATTCACTTTGTTGCCAATATCCTCCTCTTCCCTTTGCTTCTACATTTCCTATCACTATAGATCTAGGACAGAGGTCCACAATCCCTAATCTGTGTACTGGCACCAGTCTACAGCATGCTAGCAATCAGGCCACACAAACAAGCGAAGCCCCGTTCATGGGATGCAGACAGCACTTTCTCTCAGGTCTCTGGAAAACCTTTCTCCAGAAAATTGGTTCCTGGTGCTCAAAAAGTTGGGGACCGTTGGTCTAGGAGATAGGTCTTTGCATTACTTTTCCCAAGTATGATAATGTAAATCTGGTCATTTGTGTCTGAAAAGAAAATCCTGGGTTGAATTAATAATAATCCCTTTGGGGTTTTTTCTTGTTATCCATGATATTCTCATGAATTATTTCCAATACTTAAACCTCTATACAGGTAGTCCTCAACTTATGATCATAATTGAGCCCAAAATTTATGTTGCTAAGTGAAACGTTAAGTGTCTCATTTTATGATTTTCCTTGCCAAATTGTTAAGTGAATCATTGCAGTTGTTAAGTTAGTAATATGGTTTGTTAAGTGAACCTGCCTTCCCCATTTACTTTCTTTGTTAGAAGGTTACAAAAGCTAATCACATGACGCCAGGACACTGCAACCGTCATAAACGTAAACCAGTTACCAAGCATCTGAATTTTGATCACATGACTATGGGAATGCTGCAAAGGTCTTAATTGTGAAAAATGGTCATAAGTCAGTTTTTTCACTGCTGTTTTAACTGTGAACATTAACTAAAGGAACTGTTGTAAATTGAGGACTACCTGTACTCTTTTTATCCCTTCTTCAAACTTTTGCTTCAGTTGAATGTCAACAGGAAAGTCATTGCTTGCTCAATTCTTAGAGGCCTAGACTTACTCTAATATCTTAAGTATCTTTTTGCAAGTACTTTATAGCCTATATCAATAAAGTAGAATTCTACCACATATTGTAGTGTCTCTTTTCTCACCTGTTTTACATCATAGGGCTGACAACAATCTTGAAAGCATGATAGTATTTCTTTTCTCATCCTCTTATACCAAATAAAACCAGACCTTGAATTCTTCCTCATCCATTCTTTTCTTTTTGGACTGAATTCATGTAGTTGCTGTGTACGTTCTTCATAAATACCTTTGTATTTCTCTATAGGGAGATACAGCCCCACTTGCTACTCTGAGTTAAGGATAACAACTTGGTTCTGATTCTGGACCCAGAGATATTGGCAATTTGGTCCACAGTCAGGGATTACAAGAATATATATAGGCATTTTAATAACAAGGGACATGTTATAATGAGGGACAGATTATTAAGGATAACAATTTTGCAAATCGTTAAAGTTTACTAAATTTCTTATGTCTAATTAATTTTATTTCATATTTGAGGTTCAGTTGCAAGTTAGATAACCTATTATCTAAGAAATTCCACCTATATCTTAATTCCTCCAAACTATCTTGGAAAGAAATAATTAAAAGGAAATTAATTTGCAATTAATACAAAATTGTGAATTTTTCATCTAGCATATGATTTGTATGATTTGTAATTAGCAAATTACAATACGATGAATAAGCCATTAAAAATTGTGGAACTTAAACACAACAGTCCTCAATCTGTGCCTTATAAACATTTCTTGTTTAGTTACTAAACTTGACAAATTAGTAATAAAATCAAGAGCTTATCTAGCTGTTAATCTTAAAATATCAGTATTTAGCTTTTATTTAATTTAAGATTAACAATATAAATGTTTAGAAGTCCAATTCATCATATTTTTATTTTACTCTGGAGAAAAGAAGAATACCATAGACTCTTTACTTTTTTTGTTATACATTGCATACATATTTTTACCTGGGATGAATATTTAATGATAAATGATAACAGGAGTATCTATAGTATGATGTTATATGTTGAGTTACATTTCAGTACATTTGATGAACTATAGGCAACCACATTAAATAAGAAGTATGCTTATATCAGTGAGATTTTATTTCACTACTAATTTTATAATTATATATATAGGTATGGTGAGTGTAAAATGAAAATAAGTAAAAAGATAATTCAATTGCTTTCCTTATAGGGACTCCTTAAAATTTTGGATTTTCTGAGTACAAGATATTATGTTTCCTTTATTTTGGTGGCATTGGCTAATACCCAAAAGATTTAGTTGTTCTGTGAATTAAGCCTTTTAGAATTCCAAATTCAGCTGACATAGGGTTACTGATCAAATAATTTACCATCCGGAGTGTTGAATGATCAAGCATTAAATATCTCTGGTATAATCTTATTAGATTCAGTAATAATATTTGGCCTTCATGGTTGGTTGGATACTTGCTAGAGATTACAGTTATGTGTGCATAAACATTGATATACTTTTTTTTTTTTAATGTCTTGCAGCCAACAAGTCCCAAATTTGGAAAAGCCGATTCTTATGAAAAACTGGAAAAACTGGGTGAAGGTTCATATGCTACAGTGTACAAAGGGAAAAGCAAGTAAGTATATTTGTAACATTCACGTTTAAGTTTTTGTCATTTTTTTTAAAAAAATAATTTTAATGTAGATATTAAAGTAACATTTTAATAAAATATTAATAATTGTGTGACTCAGGCAGAACAGTATTAAAGTAAATTTTCATATTGCAAATTGGGTAGTCTGAATGGGCTTAAATCTAGGCTCAGTGATAGTTGGCACAATTATTTTCAATATTTTGCATCTATGCCTCCAAATTCTCCTGTTCTGTCTTCTTTAGCCATAGACCAGTGGTTCTCAACCTTCCTAATGCCGTGACCCTTTAATACAGTTCCTCATGTTGTGGTGACCCCCAACCAGGGGTGGGTTCTAAATTTCTTTTACTACTGGTTCTGTGGGCATGGCTTATTTTGTGGGCGTGGCTTGGAGGTCATGTGACTGGGTGGGCGTGGCTAGCTGGTCATGTGACCGGGTCACCATGGCTATGTGTATAGGGACTACTCAGAAAAAAGTCATTTCTGACAGGTCCTCGCACTTTTGACTGGTCCTCACACTTATGGCCATCCTCACATTTATGCCTGTGCAGCATTTTAACAACCATGTCACTCATTTCACAACTGCTTCTCTTCAACATGGTATAAGATAGGGCAAAAAACGTAAAATGTGAGGACAGTCGTAAATTTGAGGACTGGTCAAAAGTGTGAGGACCAGTCAAAAATAACTTTTTCAGCCCTCTGAGTAGTCCCTGTGCACAAAAGGACTACCCAGAGGGCTGAAAAATGTGATTTCTGACAGGTCCTCGCACTTTTGACCGGTCTTCGCAGTTATGACTGGTCATCATTTATGCCCATTGTACCATTCTTAACAACCGTGTCACTCATTTCACAACTGCTTCTCTTCACCATGGTGACAAGATAGGGCAAAAACGTAAATTGTGAGGACAGTCGTAAGTTCGAGGATTGATCAAAAGTGCGAGGACCAGTCAAAAATAACTTTTTCAGCCCTCTGAGTAGTCCATATGCATAAAAGGATACAGCAATAGAGAGGGATGAAGGAAGGGAAAGGAAATTAGAGTAGGAGTGAGGGTAAGAGAGGAAGGAAGAGAGGAGGAGAAGGAGAAAGAAAGAGGAAGTAGGGAGAAGAAGAAGAGGGGGGGAAGAGAAAGTAAGAAGGAAAGAAAAGAGAGAGGTGGTAGGTTTGAGGAGAAAGATTGCTCTACAATAAAAAAGATGAAAGGGAAGAAAGCCAACCCCAAACAAATATAAAGATATTAAGATAAAGAATGAATTGTTAAACTTTTAAGAATAAAAGAGAACAAAGAGCCTTGGTAGTACAGTGGTCTAAGGCACCCTGTTATTAAGCTGGTTATTAAGACCAGCTGCCTGCAATTACTGCAGGTTCGAATCTCACCAAGGCTCAAGGTTGACTCAGCCTTCCATCCTTTCTAAGGTAGGTAAATTGAGGACCCATTTGTGGGGGCAATAAGCTGACTTTGTATAAATATACAAAAGAATGAAGGCTATTGCTGAGCACATTGTAAGCCGCCCTGAGTCTCCGGAGAAGGGCGGCATATAAATGAAATTTTAAAAAAAATAGCAATAAATAGCAATAATTAGAAACACACATACAAACATAAAACTTATTTTCTTTGAACAGAGTATTTGGCCGGTTCACAAATTTAAACAGTTGTAGGACGTTAGCACCCACCCTTTTCCTAGAAGAATGAAATATTTTGGGAAATATTAAAAAGGCAGAATATTATATTTCCCTGGATGAGAAATGGAGAAGCATATTTTACAGACAAAGCAGCTCCCACTTTCCTGCCCCCACCCTTTGTTAATGGGCCAGAGGCAGAAAGTCAATCCTTTGTCAAAGGACATTTGCAACACAATAGCAACAGAAACTAACACAATGGGCCCCATCTAGCGACCAAAACTCACCACACGTGACCTGGGAAGCATGTGACCTGGGAAGCACATGTGACCATCAGCCACCAAGGCTAGCTAAGACCCCCATCCCTTGGGAGTCTGACAACCAATCAGGATACTCTTTCAGGGCCCCAAGAAATGCAAAGCCAGAGAGAGCATAAAAACCCGAGGATTTACTGTATCTGCCCCTTTTCTGTTCAGGAACTCAAGCCATGTGATCCTGTCCACCATTAAACCATCTTTCCAAGTTGTCTCCATGTTTCCAGTGTCTTTTTCCCCACTTGGAGCAGAACCCAGAAGGATATTTCTTCCAACACAGTGTTTAGTCATTTCAATTAAATTTACAATTTCTATATTTCCTTTTTACCATATTTATTCCTCATCTATTTTTTAAAAAAACCAATATTACCCTTCATCCTCATCTCTAATCTTAATCAAATTCAATTTTTCCCTTCTATTCTATATTATACCCCTTCCCATTGTCGTCTATTTTTATATCCATCCTCACATTGGTTAATTATGTAATTATGTAATACAGTTGTTTAATACAAATTCAACATTTTAATATAAATCAATTAGTTATATAACTCTTTTGTATATTAATCAATATGAACATGAATATTCCAATTATTTCCATTCAATCCAATTTCTTACAAATCAGTTAATTATATTTACCAATAATAATAAACCAAATAATTTCCCCCATATATTCCTCCAAACCACAACTTAACCGTTTCTGCTTTCAACACAATATACAATTAATAGTATCTCAATTATTACAATTACCTAGTTAAATAGAGCTTTTTTTCTTTTGTGTTTTAAAATCTTGAATCTCCTCTTTTGCCCTAAATTTCCCATTGTTTGCAGTTTTGCACCTACCTTTTTTGGTGAGGAAAAAGAAAAAGAAATCTCTCTGCCTCATTTTGTCACGTTGCAGCAAAGACCCTTCTTTACTTTCAATTTCGCTTTTCAGCATAGCTAGGGGGAAAAAAATTTGCTCCAGGAATTTACCTCTTTGCAGCTAGCTCTTTGAAACCCCGCGGCAAGAATTTAAAGTTTTTTTTCCCTCTAGCCATCAGCTGGGACTCCGGAGGCAGCAATAAATTGGGAGTGGGCGGGGTAAGCGAACGGCAACCGGGCAATCCAACAGAGGCAGAGGGTGAGGGTGAGTGAAGGCGTGGAGGGGGGTGAGAGAGGCCTTGGCGACCCCTGTGAAATGGCTGTTCGACCCCCAAAGGAGTCGCAACCCCCAGGTTGAGAACCGCTGCCATAGACTGTATGTATCCATATGCTTTTTTAGTCGTAGGTTTCAATGTTTCAGTAGGTTTCAATGTTTCAATGAAAATGTTTCTTGTAGTACAGAGTCTATTATGTTCTGCTAAATTTTATTTTTCTATCTGCAGAAGATGTTAATTTAACTAATTAAGCAAATTGATTTTGTTGACAATTTGAAGTTGGCAAATCATCACTAAATGGACAAAAATGGTTTGCTTCAATTAAATATATTACTGTGTATGTTTCTAGGCTCAGAACAACCTGATATCAAAATCTTATATACATTCTAAAAATGCATAACTGGTTGAAATTATAATTTTAATGTATCTAATAACTTGGAGATGCTTCTTAGATTGAAAAATGTTTAAAAGTTGTTTGTTTTAGTAAGCTAAAGTGAAGTTCCTGTGTAGAGTGCCAGCGACTTGGTTGTGCCTTTCATTGTATGCTGTTCCTGATTCTTCTTGAACTGTCTCTGAGGCCTCTCTATGCAGTCTGTACCTTGGGTCCTGCTAGTATGAACCCCTACTTCTATGGATCTGGTGCTTAGTGCTTGTTCTTGGCTTCCTATCATCATTGCCTATTTCAGTCCAGCCCTTTCCAGCCATTGATACGATTTCCCAATGTCTGGTACCTCAGCTATCTGTTGATGGTACATCGCATCTTGCCATGCCACTGCCTCTTCTTGATCGTCTTCCCATGTCTGTTGCTTCCCAGCAACTCTATTTTGGGTACCGTTTTACTGATGTACTTCTTGATACTCTGGGTTTATCCATGACTTTTAAACTCTTAGATCCCAATTTTCTCTTTCTGGCTGGTATATAGATAGGAAATAACAGCATAGGCACACAGCATAGGCATATGTCATGAAGCAATCTAAAATTATTCAAAATACAAATTATTATGAATACAAATAAAAATACCCTTTTGGTTTTGCCTTATTTACCAATGAATAATCTAAAAGTACAAAAAGTACAAAAGCAACATAATATCCATACCTGGCACTTTTTGAAAACAGTGTAACATTAAGTGCAAGGTACAAAAACAAATCAGAAAAAGAATCCACAGTAAAATAATATGTTCTGAAACATTACCAAGTATAAAAGAAGTAAGCAGATTTGTTCTGTTCCCAGCAAATGACAAAAATTATAAATAATGGACTTTGATGGATGTTGCCATTTTAAATTCGGTCAGGATGAACCATGAGCCTTAGTTTAATTGCATCAACAAAGCAACTATAATTCCTACATCTGTTTTTTCTTAATTCAGTAGTTTGGAGAACAGGCTTATTGAGGCCAGTAAAAGCCTATGCAGACATTATTTCTATTTTGGTTGGGAATAAGTGATAAATGTCCATTTAAGTTTAAACCATCAAATAAAATGTCACAATATAATTGGAATAAATACCCAAAATTGCATTTAAAAAAATGATTTAAAAATGATAATGTGCTGTTTTTGTGAAGGGTAATAGTTAGAGTCTTAATCATAAGAAGCTCTGTGTGTTGCAAATAGAAAAGTCTACTAAAGTGCTGAGATAATTGTATTTTGGTCTGTTTATTACAGAGTAAATGGAAAGTTAGTAGCACTGAAAGTAATAAGACTTCAGGAAGAAGAAGGTACTCCATTTACAGCTATCAGAGAAGGTATGCTTTTTATTTGGCTTTGAATTTTATCTCCCTTCTTTTTGTAATTACAGCAGACATCTTCTTTTCAACTTCTTGTTGACTCTGAAGAGCCTTCATGTTTCTCAAATTATATGGTTGCAGTCCTTGGAAAAGTTGGATTGCTACTTAAAAATCAAAACCACTCTAATGTGTGGGAGTTATTATAAAATAAAAAAATCTGTTTTCGGTGGATGACTTGTACAGGAACTGGTATCAGGTATACACGACAGCATGTTTGCAATTGTGGAGGTGTAGAAATGCCAGTGGGACTTCACATTAAGAATATTCTGTTCACGGAACTGCTGCTGAGAAGTAGAATCCAAATGCAGAATAAATTTAAATTGGAAGAGTTCCAAGGATGATAGTTTATTAATTAGTCACTAAAAAGTGTTCTGAAGAGAAGATTTTAAAAGATAATGTGAAATAATAAGTATCTGACTTTTTTAAAAAAATAATGTGATCAGCATGATCTATTGATGCTACTGGACATAAGGAAAGAAATGTGGGTTGCATTAAAAGAGGAGCTAAGCTTTAAAATAATGTGTGAGGGAGGATATAAGAAGAAGTGCCTGGCTCCAGCTAAGATTAATTAGCCATTTAATGTTGGCTATCTCACTATGAATTTTCTGAGCTGATGTCCAATACATTGAAGAGTATCAAACTGGGGGAAAGCTGGACTGTTTTGTAGATCCATGCTAGGTAATATGGATTAGTCTATAAAATACATTTACAGATAAAGTTATAATTCAAGAGAATTTTCAAATCTGGCCAGACTAGGTTTTCACTAAAGTAAATTATTAATTTCAATAAATTAAAAATTAGCTAGTCTAATTTTCATTCCTAAAATGACATATTGGATATTCAAACTACTGCTATTTTCTTTTCATCAGAAGTGTAGTATCTTGCAGGTATCAGTTTTAAAAATTACAAGCTTGGCAATTAAAGAGATACTTATGCTCTGGAAAGGAGGACATGGGGAAGGATTTCTTATGTACTCATAGAAAACACCTATTTATTTTCTGGTAGTCATTGGTTTATAGGTATACAAAGGTACACATTGCAATAATATAAACAGGGATATGTTTCACACTAGAAAAGATCTAACATCTTCAGCAATGTGCAGCTTTGCTATACAAGTACATTCTTTGCCTTTCAGATTCATGATTAAATTCAAAACACCCAAACAATGAAAACGAAAGTTTTCATGATTTTTCCTACTGTGAGAATCAATTCTCACACTGATAAGTAGACTGGTAAGTATTATGTAAACATGTCCAGGTGTAAGTTGTGATCTGTTATATGCTCTATCCACAAAAAAGATGGAAGAGACATTTAGTATTTTGAGTATACACAGATACATTTCAAAACAAAAATGATGTTTGAAATTCTTGTGCTGTTCCTGTAGCCATAACTTTTTTCCTTAATACTATTCATTATTAATACTATCTAACTATTCAAAGCTTATAACCAGGGATGATTATTTTAAGTTCAATTTGGTACTATAAAGTTCTGACAATAAGTTTTGTGTCTAGATTAGAGTTGAATTCTTGTCTCCCAATTTGTCTTTCAGCTGATGAGGTACATCTCAGTCCCCTTGATTAAATACAATTTCTTTTTGCTTCCAATAAATTATAACAATAGTATATAATATTAAAAAACAAACACTTGTTAGATCTCAAACAATTTCTTTAGAGTTCAATAAAGGAAAGAGGAAAAGTTGATTAACTTTGCTTTGTTAAATCTATTTTTTAGGGCTTTACTTAATTTTCACTCCCCCCCTTCATCTTAATTCATTTTTTCTCCTGCTTTTTCCTATGAAAGAAGAAAGGAGAAGTGTGTTGCTATATTTCTATGTCATAAAGATTGATATATGTCTATCTTGGAACTTTATTTATAAATTGGGCCTCTTATGTTAAAGGCAATTAATTTTCAGATCTCTCTCTTTGTGTATGTATAGATTTGTGACATACACATTTTTATTGTTAGGGAAGGATTTTCCAGGATCAGTTTCACCTAAGCTGGCAACCCTAGAAGTGGAAGCTGAATGTGTACTCTCTCTCTCTCTCTGTGTGTGTATGTGTATGGGTATGTGTGTATGTATAAATGAATGAATGTAAATGAAAACAGAAATAAAAATTCAACAGCATTTAAAAACATACAAATATATTAGATTTAATAGGATTTCATTTTTTAATTGTACGGGCTTCCCTGTGAATCTCTACATTCTGTGTTGTACTGATTAAAAGAGATCTACAATAGGTAGATAATATGAAGAAGTGTGATTGCAAAACATTAAATGGTTCTCAGGGTTGCTTATATGCCTTTATCTTACATGAATTTCCATAAATAGACATCTGACAATGAAGGAGAAGTATTTAAATATAGTAAAATAAATCCATTCATAGGATTTTCTCCTTTGATTTTAACTATAATGCTATACAATATAGGAAACTCTGTATACCTTAAATATATTAGTTAAAGATGAACATAATTATAATTTAATTGAAAACTATATATATCTTATATTGTATTATATTTCATTATTATATATCATATCACATCGTATATAATATATTCATAGTTCTCAACATATGACTATTATGAACCTGCCCTTTACAGTCGTATGTTGTACCCATTGTAAAATAGATTGGTTATGTGACCATCCAATTTCACAATTTTTTAATGGCAGTCGTTAAGTGAATTTGGTGGTCACTAAGCAAATGCCATGATCTTGAAGTGAACCAATGGTTCAATATGGTGCAGTTTTGCCAAAAACTAGAATGCAAAATCATCGTAAAATGTGGTCACATGATAGCAGGTCACTACCATAAAATATAATACAATATATAGATCTGTAATATAACCCAAAAATCTTCAACTGATTTGGGTTTTTATATAACATCCAATTAAGCGAAGATTTGGGATTAAACTTGTGTGCAGAATTGTTAAAAAGAGCATTACTGATGCTCAGTAGGAAAAATGAAACTTGTATATATTTCCTTCCATTCCTCAAACATTAGATTTCAACTGCTGAAATATTGGAATAAGCAGTATATCAAATGTAACAAACTTGAATATAAGCAAACCAGAAAAGCATTTATTTTAATTTTAGACTATTGCATCATATGCTAGGATGCTTGCTCAAAACTCATTGGGGAATTAAATTAAAACAGAGCCATCTGTTTATCTTTACATTTGCTGCAAGTAAAAAAAAAACCCCATGTTAAATTAGCATTACATAACAAGCTTGCTAATAAAATTCTTAGTATGAGTTCTTATTTCACATTAACCCATAACTGCTGGTTTTCAACAACACTGATGTGCTGGTTATATTTATTTAGTTTATAACCTAATCGTATCTCCTGGTTTATTTCTACCTTACATTATTAAATTGCTGAGATTTTTAGATGTAGATAGAGACATGCAGTCAGTAAGAGTGATACTTATACAACTAAAATTATAGCCCATTGGCAATTTCAAAAAGCTTAACTAAATTTCTGTGCAGAAATAAAGTATTGATTTCTAGTGCCACTTGTAAACATATTTTATTCATCATTATTTGTAATGGCTGTTTAAAAATGTGTGGAATAAATTTTTAGTAACATACATTTTGAGCTAATTAATGAAAGAATACTTAGCTTTTTAAAATTTTAAAGGGAGAAATTATTTCCTTACTAAAATGCTTTTATAGATACATATCTATACATGTATCTCCTAATTGGCTATTTCTTTAAGACAAATGGCTTTCTTGCCTATAAATAAATGTCCCATTCATATTCTTTTAGGCTCTCCATTCTCTAAATTCCTTAAATTGCTATTTGTAGGAAGAATGTCTAAATAAGGGTAGTCTGGCACTAGCATTACAGAGGATTGTTAGTGAGCTATTTAGATATCCATGCTTTCCAAAATTGCAAATTGCTTGATATGCAAGGATTATCTATCATGAATTGCAGAGTTATTTATTTCTATTTTAACCCATAGGATGTTGTGTTTTTTACGTACATTAGTAAAAAATAGTTTTTGTCATAATTTATTTTATATTAGTTGTTCTTATACCAATGCATTTTATGTATTGTAGATTGATGTTCAGAGGCAAAGGCTCAAGCTCATTTCAGCAATTGGATTAAAACTGTCCAATCTATTAATTAGTTGACAGATGACTCGTTTAAGATTATTCAGATATCTTTGTTTTAATTTTTTTAATTTATTTATTTATTTATTTTGGTTTGATTTATATGCCGCCCTTTTCCGGAGACTCAGGGCGGCTTACAATGCGTTAAGCAATAGCCTTCATACTTTTGTATATTTGTATAAATATACAAAATATATGTATAAAGTCAGTTTATTGCCCCCACAATCCGGGTCCTCATTTTATCTACCTTAGAAAGGATGGAAGGCTGAGTCAACCTTGAGCCTGGTGAGATTTGAACTTGCAGTAATTGCAGGCAGCTGATGTTAATAACAGTGCTTTAGTCTGCTGCGCCACCAGGCTCTAATTATTTAATTGTTGTCAGATTGTCTACACTTACATTCCTGTCACTCTGATACCTTTGAAATAAATAATGTTACAAATAAGAGTAATTGGTAATAAGTAATTAAATTAAAGCTAGGAGATTAAGAAAAAGGAAAGCTAGGTAAATCTAGTTTATACCGATACCATCCTTTCAAATCCCTATTTCCTTGCAAATCAACCATGACCAGATCTCTACATAAATTCAATTTATATTTTGTTTACTTGTCTGTTTTTTAATTTCTGATTTCTGAGAATTTGAGTTCCATTTCATCACAATTTTCTTGATCTTTCTCTTCTTTTACATACTCTTATACTTATACTTATATTTGATTAGTGATTTGATCCTCATTCATTTGCTCTGTAGGACTGAACATACATTTGTATTCAATCCACATTAATTCAGTACCCATTTAATTCCTGATTCTTTTACTTCTTGTTTGACTTCATATATTTTCTTGTAAACCCTTCTTGTTGCATAAAATTTATTTTTTATGTTTTTCTTCATTTACCCAATTCTGATTTCTATAAAATGGGCATTTTATATACAATCATTATACTTCTTTTAACAGATATTAATATATTTCAATTAAATCCATTCAGATTGTTACCATTTGATCATTGTTATCACATAAATGCTTTCATGGCATTTTTGCATCCATTTCCTCATATTTAATAATTTTTCTACCAAGGTGCGCAAATATATTTATGTGATATAATTTTACTATTTACAATGGTGTTTAAAAGTTTGTGAGATTTTTTGAATTTTCAATATGTATGCATATATGTAACCTAAAGCATGATTTGTTTTCCACAAAAGTCCTATAACTAAATAAATATTTGTTTATAGAAAAAAATAAACATATGAATAAAAATATTATTTATTTCTTTATTGAAGAAATGTTCTTATTAACAATGCTTTAAAGATTAAATAGATTAAATCAACTGGCAGCCTTCTCCAAAAGATTTTGGAATTAATTATAAAGGATCCTTCTAATACAAAAATGTCTTTGTTTTGAATAAAAGAATCATATTTAGATGCTAGATGGAATTAAGGATTACAATTAAAAGTGTATGCATACACTGGACTTACAATTATTTTTGAACAATGGACTCAGAAGTTAATTTTAATAAACAAGATGTATTTGTGCCAACAAAGACATCTTGCTCTATTGAGAGACTATGTCTAAAAGATGTTATGGAAAAAGAACAAATTCTACTTGATAAGATCAAGATTGAGTTGAAAGTGGATGACCTGCAAAATATATATTATGCTGCAAACATAGAAGAAACTGGTGATGTTTTAATAATTTAAAGGGATATAAAACAATAAACCAAGAGAATGTCCTAGATAATTTTCCTATATTGGATTTAGAAAAGAATCTTGTTAAATTTTTGAAGAATCTTGTGAGAGAGGATAAAGCAAAAATGAGAAGAAATCAAGTTCTGAATAGATTAAAGATTAAAATTGTTAGAATTAAAAGGAAGGAATATAAAGTTGATTTATTTGATCAAGGTTAAAATAGATATGTTGTTATTTCTCGTGACTCTTAATGTAATTTTTATGATATCACCTAAATGATGATTTATGGATTTGTTTATAGGTAAAAGGGATATGGGAAGAAAGAATCATTTGTATTTTAAAAGGAGATGATATGTTACTAAAATTGTTTATACTTGTCATGAAGATGGGAATTCACAGTTATATATATTTACTATATTGTGTTTTCTCTTGTTTTAATTTGTATTAATTTTCATTTTCATAATTATAATTTTTAATAGAATTGCCATATTTTTATGATTTTGTTGTTACTGTTTAATAGCCTTAAAATAGTTTCAACATGAAATTATTAGTTTGGCTATTGCAATATTAAAATATTGAGTAAATAGTTTACTGTAGCCAATTGGTTCTATAGCCACATTTATTGTTTTGATATGATTGTTTCTGGAAGACATAACCTAGGAAGAACATTTTCTCTTGTTTCTTATAATTGGGGAAAAATCGCACTAATTTCTGCCAGTGATGCTGGGCCATTCCAATTTTTAGAAGATGTACAAAATGTTGCTTTTTGGAGAAAAATCTTGAATATTTTTTTCATAGGTTTTGCTTTTGTCTTTCAGCGTCTCTCCTGAAAGGTCTAAAACATACTAATATTGTGCTGCTTCATGATATCATCCATACAAAGGAGACACTGACCCTGGTATTTGAGTTTGTGGTAAGTTTATACAATTTTTTTTTGCATTCTGTAACCTAAGATAAAAAGTTAAAAACAGAATGGCTGCCATTGGATAAAAGAAACCTAGATAACTTGCATAATAGTCTCTTGTTGCTGATGTTGTTTGGAGTATAATATAAAAAGTATTCGAAACTTAAAATACTGTAATAATCATATCAGATATTGTTTTAATTTTTTTTTCAGATACATAAGACAAACCCGTTACAACTATCTTGATTATTTTTCTTCTCCCCCATTCTATTATTTAGAGATGTATAATTCCTATAATTGTACTCATTTTTATAGTATTCCTTATCTGCATAAAATTTAGTTTATTATATTTTGAAAGCTTTGACTTAAGGGGGCTCCATGGGGTGCAGAAATACATAAAGAATTTAAACCAACTACAACTTTGCTTTTAACCGCTCACTTGGTAGAGATAAAAGAACAAGAACTTGTATTTTGCATGAAAGGAGAAAGTAAAAAATAACATAATCTCTCTAATATGAAACTAACATAAATATACACAAGATTTTTCAAGGAAAAGTTGAGAGTTCGCCTTTCTTTAGCCAAGCATTAGTAAGCGAATGTATTCATTTATTTACAAGGACTCTGTTATATAGCCCTGCAGTAATTGAAATATTTTTAAGTGGGCTGTTTGGTAATTTTGATGAATGTATTGATGAATATGATTGTAGATTCAGGAAAATATTGTGAGACTTGAAAAGGAGTTTACATGAGTTCAAAACTGTGTTTTTTTATTGCATCTGGAAATTCTATTTTAATAATTAGTATCAGAAAACTATAGTGAGGATAATTTATACTCCATAGCTTCTTTTCCCTCCGTTGAATTTCAACTATCTCAGCTATTAATTAAAATTTCAGTTTTCACAGTACACAATTTAATGATGTAATTCTATTCAGAGAATCATTATATGAGGTTTGGATTTAAATCCCAATTAATCATCCTACATTTTCCAAAGACCAACATATGGAATTTATATAACATGATTTCAGTATTTAGCTGCAGTATTGAATAATGAATAATTATAATTAATTCTCAAAATTCCACCAATGGAAAAATAATACATAATTTATAAGAAAGAATTTAATTTCAACTAGATTTAACTCTTGAATAACATTATTTTTATAGTCAATAAATCCGTATAGTTAATATTTCAGTGACTAATTACATACACACACACACGATTTTACATACTATTTTTATACAGGATGCTCTCCTACTTTATTATAATCTACTCCGATTGTCAGAAGGACAATATATCTTTATGATAGTTAATGCAAAAGAATATTGTATGGTCTAGAGATGGGAAATATTAATCTATCTACAGATGTACAGATGTCAAAGCAGTGAAATGGAAGAGGGTATGCAAACTACTGCATCATTACTGTCAACTCGTTGAAGCTTTCCTGATCTGCTCCCGGGTTGCCATAGGCAGGGGGATGGGAAATCATGCCTCGCAGCTCCGGCCTCGCTGGTTCAGTTAAGTGGGTGCTGTGGCTCCCCCATAGGGATGCATCGACTTTTCAAACTTAATTGGGTGGGCCAATTTCTTTGCTCTGATCCTTTGCCTCAGGATCGTGGGCAAGTTAATCAGACATTTGGTGCAGCCTGAGTCTATTAGGGCTTCAAATGTGCCCTGGGTCCCTGTTTTGGGGGCAGTGAGACAAATTGGGAAGGTGAAAGGGTGGATAGGTTCACTCACCATCGGGTCCTTTTCCTCCTCGTCCTCACTGTCATAGGATTCTGGGGATTGGTCGTAGTCGGCTGTGGGTCCCTCCCCTTCGGCTGTGTAGGGAGGGACCTCTACAGTCTGGAGGGCTTTTTGAGACTTGTGGGCTGCACACCTGGACCACATTCCGATCACGTCCTGGGTAGTAGTTCTGGCTTGGGCTTTGGGGCTGGGGTTGCCAGGCCGATGGAAAGTGGCCTACCCTTCTGCATCTGTAGCATTTTAACTGGCCTTGGGGGAGAGTTGATCTTGTGGCTGGCTGGGGTGCCATGGCTTCCCATTGCCCAGATGGTTGTGGTCTGGTTGTCCTGTCTCTCTAGGACCTGGCTGCCTCCACATGCCATTTGCACACAAGCCGCTGTCAACCTTAATTACCACTTGAAACCAGTCAGAGAGCTGATCAGGAATGTCCCAATAGATGGTGATTTCGCTGATCTGCTTATCCAGACACTCTCTGAAAAAATGGATTAGTAGCTCCTCTGGGCAGGGCGGTTGCTTCCCTATTCCCAGGGGATCCTACAGCCCTGTTCCTATACATCCCGTATACTCACTGACATGGAGAGATGGTGGGCAGTGTGGGAAAAGAAGGCTTTTGTGGTAAGATACTACTAAAGTGGTGCCACCTTCTGGAAGGGGGGAAGAAACCGTTTGAAGTCTGGACTAACCATAAGAATCTGGAGGCCCTCAGGACCCAATGGAAACTATCGCCCAAACAGGTCCACTAGGCTCAATACTTCAATTGATTCAACCTTGTGCTAAAACACATCCCAGGGGGGAAGAATTTCTTAGCTGACGCTCTCTCCCGCATACCCCAAAACAAATGCAAGCAGGAGGGGTAGTAGATGCAATCATTCCACTTCCCCAAACCATAGCCCAGCGCTGAGACTGGTAGGACCTACCTGCAAGTGATTTAATCACAAAGCTTAAAACCAAACTGGAAACCGACCCCTGGTTCCATGACAACCAGCACAAAAAGGGAGGACCTAGCATGGAAGGGGGCAAAACTCTACGTCCCCAAGTCCCTACGCACCTCAATCCTCCACAGAAGCCATGATGTCAAATCAGCTGGCCACTTTGGGTTCTTAAAAACTTTACACCTGATGAGGAGACAATTCTGGTGGTCCGGCATGAAGAAAGATGTAGAGGGCTATGTAAAAAGCTGCATCATCTGCGCCACCATGAAAAGGAGACCTGCCCCCCCCTCCCTGGCTTGCTCCAACAGGTGGCAGAACCAATGAAACCATGGGAGAAGATTGCAATGGACTTTATACTTGAATTGCCAAAGAGTGGGGAGAATACAGTGATCTGGACTGTGATTGACTTATTCTCCAAACAGGCACACTTCATACCCTGCAGCAGACTACCCTCAGCCCACCAACTAGCCAAACTCTTCCTGAAGCACATCTACTGCCTGCATGGAATACCACACAGAATCATCTCAGATGGAGGAGTCCAGTTCATGGCTAAGTTCTGGAGGGATTTATTGCGGTCTATTGGATCATCCCAGGGCCTTAGTTCAGCATTCCATCTGAGCACCAAGGGCAGGCAGAGAAGTTGAACAATACTTGAGGTGTTATATGAACCACCAGCAGTCCAATTGTGCTGACCTTCTGCGATTCGCAGAGGTTGCTTGCAATAATGCTGTTCACGGCAGCACAGGGTTAACCCCTTTCAAGGTATTAAGTGGTATGGACTTTGTCTCAATGCCAGAATACCCAAGGGAAGTCCCCTCCTCAGTAAGTTTGACTGACTGGATGTTGATGCTGAAAGCGTCGTGGGAAAATGTTAAGAAGCCACTAGCTAAGGCAGCACAGAACTATACTCAAGAGCGAGACAAACACCGAGCACCACAACGGCTGTTCCAAGTGAGGGGGAAAGGTCTACCTATCCACAAAATACTTAAGGCTAAAGCCTTAAGATGACATGTTTTGTCATCTTTGCTGTCCAAAGGATGCAAAGGAGTCTTCTACAGTTCAAATGAGTTTCATCAAGTCTAGTTTTTTCACAATCCAATTTTCACAATCATAAATAAATACAGAAAACATGATAGTGCAGACTAATCTGTATTTAGTTGCCAGGCTAATGTCCTTGCTATTTCATATGCAATTCATGCTTATCATTGCAGTGTGACCCAGCAATGGGTCATTATTTCTGGACTGGATTCATTTATTTGGTCAATCTACAATCAGAAAAGTGAATTCTTGCACACATTCGTTCTTTTCACCATCAGTTGTTATTTTGACATTTCATTAGTGCAGTGGTCATGAGTTTGGTGTTTTTCATGTTCAGGAAAAGACCAAATTTCTCCCTTTCTTCTTTAACTATTTTGATCAGATCTTTTTTGGTTTCTAATAAAAGTTTGTTGATTGTCTTTCCTTCAATCTGTGTTCTAATTTTTTATTCTTCAAGTTCCAGGTTCTCATGACGATTTCTATATGCAAGTTGGATAAAAAAGGTGAAAGAATGCAACCTAGTCACACTGCTTTTTCTACCCGGAACCAATCATTGTTTCTATATGGTATTCACACAGTAGCTTCCTGATTCGTGTACAGTGATTGTAGCAACTTTTTTTTTTTTTTAATTGATTTATATGCCGCCCTTCTCCGGAGACTCAGGGCGGCTTACAATGCGCTAAGCAATAGCCTTCATACTTTTGTATATTTATACAAAGTCAGCTTATTGCCCCCACAAACTGGGTCCTCAATTTACCTACCTTAGAAAGGATGGAAGGCTGAGTCAACCTTGAGCCTGGCGAGATTCGATCTTACTTTAATTACTTTAAACTTGATCAGATATTTTGATATCCCAGGGCTTTCCACAGTCTCTCACGATTGACCTCTTCAAAAGCCAGCTTGAATATCTGATAATTCCCTTTAGATGTTGGTGCATTGTTGTATTGTAATAAGGAAAATCTAGCTGGTTGAGAGCAGTTCTCAGTAAATGGAGCAATCCTTGGAGTCACCTTTTTTGTCAATGGAATAAACACTGACCAATTCCTATCCAATAGACGTGTTCAAATTTTGTGGCACGTCTGTAATGATTATGAGTGGTACTGGTTTCATCAGTTCTAGGATGGTATCATGGGGCCTTGTTTGGCCATTGGCTCATTGCCCAGCCTAAAGGATGGCTGGTTCTATTTCTGCATCTTTATCATTCTGAGGAAGTTGAACCTGTTTGTTGCTGGCCTACAACTCTTCAGATATTCTTATTATATGATTTTGATGCTTTGGCAGTCAGACAGTTCCT